AACAATTTACAGTAGTGAGAGAAGCATGATAAATCCCCCACCCCTTCCACAACGCTAAGCTACATGTCACAATATATATTTTAGGCACGAAAGAGCATTTCCTCGGTTCTAAAAATATACGCGTAATTCTGTGGAAGTACCCTGCATGTCACACTCGCGATCAGCTCTGCCAGGAGCATGCTCTGCAAAAACGAAACAAATTGACCGTTGACCGGACTCGTAGTCACCGCATCAGAGCCGGCCAGCTTGACCTCACCGCGGGGGCAGCTCGGAACGGCCCGCTTTCACAGGAGAGTCCCGGAGGGGGGGGAGGGAAGGCTTCATCCCCGAGACAACAAAGAAGACAACAGAGGGTCGCCAGGGACGCCGAGAAAAAACGTCAGGCGGATAGTGTCTCCAGAGTCGCACAAAAATCAATCGCAGCCATTACATCTTGGACGGCATGAATCAGGCGAGAGAGAGTGCCTCGTCGGTGAACCCGAGCGCCCCATCCAGACAGCAGCAGAACCCTCCGAAGCTGCGCATCAGCATCCACCAGCCTTACGACCGGTTCCCTGGAATGTTCCCAGAAATGTATTCCGAGAGGCCGCCGTCTCCGCGGGCACGTGCGCTGTGCACAGCCGGACCTGGTGCCCCACCTGACTAGTCCCGACGGCCGTTCGCTCTCTGAAATGGCCTCCCCACTGACTCGGCCGGTGAAGTTCAGAGCCAACTTCTAGAGCAGACGGACCATCAAAACATGACCGGAAGGCAGGCCCGGATCCGCGTCCCGCTGGGGAACGCTACATAGCTTAAAGCAATGGACCATTGCATGGAATAAGACCGGCAAACGAACAAATCGATCTTAAGCTGATCTTCATTTGTCGAACAAACGTCTCCAAAGACTGTTAAGTGTCAAACCTGGCCGGCTACAAAAAGGGCAAGGCTTTAACAACGATATTATCGTCGGCTCACGCAAGGCTCACTAATCCTAGAAAAAAAATCCAACACTGAGTGTATTTCCATCAAAAACGATGATTAATCTGCACATCTGAATTGTGTTCGCCATTCCGTGTGATATTCACGCTATCGAAAAGCACAAGACAATTTAGATGCCGACGATCAGATATCACACATGTATTGAGTGAAATGCTAGACAACTTATCGAAAGGTTATTCGAGGTGTAAACAATCGATAAAGCCCTTGTTACCGTTGAGATCGATGCGAGAGAATAATATGCTAAAAGTGTCCAAGCCTAATTCCAGACCGGATGGGAAATGCTCACGCTTTAACCCTCGCATGTGTGCGGCGTTTGCCAGCTTCTAATGTGTAGGGGGGGGGGGGTCGGTTGGACCCCCTTGCTATTTGGCCCCTGATCGAGCTAGAGCTTCGCCGAAAAAACGAGCGTGTTGCCCGTGACGAGAGGAAGCCGATGATACCCAATTTTAAGGTCCTAGGTCATTGGTTGACATTCCAGGTCAGGTCAATGACCCAAAGTCGGGAAAATCGGGACCTGTTAGAAAGTCGTAAAGTGTGACTGCTAAGTGCTAAGGGGTTTTTCTGGGTTCTGATCACGAATATCGTGTTAGTTTTGATCACAGATGATGTCTTTAAGCATTTAGACCAGGTCGGGTCAGGTCAGGTCAGGTCAACCAGTAGGCGTCGTGACGGGTATTCGTAGTACGTGTCAACCGCCTCTGAGAGCTTCGTAACATGTTACGAAGTCACCAAAACTACTTCGTAAATGTTCAAATGGTTTCTAAATTCGAATTCAGCTCCAAAAACTAGCCTAGAAACATGTACAACTCGAAAAAGTGAACCGAGGTCACCCGAGGTCACCAAAGGTCAATGACCTGACCTGACCTTCAGGTGACCTTGACACCCACCCTAATGTATGGAAGCAACATCAAATCACATGTTTGAACGTTTGAAACCACGAAAAGCTTGCAAACGCGCGGCTAATGCGAGCCGACATACGCGAAATCGCGATTCCGGCCAAATATGGTCTCGGAAAAGAGGTCACAGGTCAAAGGTCATTTGGGTCAGGGTCATGAAATTTTCAGGGTAGGTGTAAAATTGATCAATGCGAGGGTACTGAAAGTTTCGTCGCGATCGGCCGCTTTTTACGCAAGTTATTCGCGAAAAACCATGGGGGGTCCAACCGACCCCCCCCCCCCCTACATATGCGAGTGTTAATATTTGCGCAATAGCAGACGTCAAAATTATACAAAAAAACACTATCTTTACAAGTAGATAAACACGTTTTTTTCGAACACATATTTATATTGTAATGCATATTTTACCAAAACTATTTAGGCAGAACTACTCGACCATACCCATTACATCGGCGTAACGGTTCCAATCCCGCAACAATTTTCGGTTCTTGCTGTGATTGATACGAATGGAGTTTGTAAGTTACACACTAGAGGCAACGTGTATAAATTTGCATGTCTTCAAACGGTCGTTCTCAAGCATTTATTCCGTGTTAGTATGATAGGATTGCTAACGTTACAAAGATATCAGCACTGATGGTGCTGATGATAATGTGATGCTTCGGGACTGGTCGTTCAGGATAGGATTGGTTATCAGACTCCGTAGCGGCAAATTGGTGCTTAGAAACGAATTAGCTCCAACTCCAGCCTATAATAATTAAGCAGTACATACTTCATTTCAAAGAGGAATCCTGTAAGATTGTAATACTGCCATGCCAGTAAGATTGCAGCAATGAAGTATGAACTAATCAGATGATTGATTTTGAAGATCAGCTAAATGGATAAGACATAACTATTTGCTTTACATTGTTTGTGTGGTTTGCATTGTTTTATTTTGGTTTTCAAATTTTATTGGTCACCTTACATCCGGGAAACGGGCTATTTTTAGGTACAACGCCACAAATATGCACCTAAAGACAACATTGTGTGTTCAATAGTGGCAGTGTTAACATGTGGTACTCAGGTGTCCACCCGATCCACGGGGGTCCATCCCCGATCCAAAGGTGTCCAGTGTCCACTGTCCACGCCCGATTCACACGTGTCCATCCCCGATCCACAGGTGTCCGCCCACGATCCAAATGTGTTTACCCTCGATCCAAATATGTCCACCCCGATCCAAATGTGTCCATCCAATCCAGACATGTCCACCCCCGATCTATAGCTGCCTACTGTCAACACCTGATTCACAAGCATCTACCCCGATCCACAGGTGCCCCCCCCCCCCTGATCCACAGGTGTCCGCCCCCGAGCCACAGGTGTCCACCCCCGACCCTCACAGATGACGTCATGACGTGTGAATGGCCAGCCGCCGTGTCGGTCAGAGATCAATGGTGTGACGTCACAGCTCCAGAGATCAATAGCGGTCGCCATGGCAGCGGTGACGTCACCACCTGCACTCGCCGGCAGATGGAAGCGGAAACGGGGCGGCGCGGTACGCGTGAACGCCAGATCTAATGAGCTCCAGCTGCACCTCCGCCCCCCCCCCCCCCCCCGGCAGATGACATCCTGCATCGGGTCATCACTTGACACCTGACTGTCCGCCGCTTCCGAACATCATTGAAAGGGCGTGCTCTCCTGACCTTAGCTCGTATTGCGTTTCCCAAGCACCGCTGGTTTTTTACTATGTGCACTGTGCAGACGTATTGCCGGCCAAACCGGAACGAGGTGGGAGCTACAAATAGAGACATAACAGGCAACAAAAACTAACTGTGATATCGACAAAGGACAAAGCAATCCGGTCTCACATATAGCTTCCCAAAATTAAAAACGGAAAACTGGTAATATGCAGCTTCAAATAAAATATTGCATACGGGCATACATGAATTTTGTTGATAAACGATAGCAAATCCAATGTTACCATGCTCTGCGGCAAACAATGAAATTTGCGGGCATATGCACAATAAAAATATCCAAATTTCAATATTAAGCATGTCCAAAAGATATGCTTCATCCTAATTTGACATCCTCAATAAAACTAGCTACCGTCAAAGCACCATAAGGTGGATGACTTATTCACACATTACTTGCTTACTTAGGAACATGTTTTACTTGCTAACTAGGGACACGTCTAAGTCAATGCGACAGGCATTGACAAACGTCAATAGCAGGGAGAGGGAGCCCATAATGCATTAGCCCGCCGCCAACGCTCCAGAGTCGCGCTCTCGGAATAGTTAGCCAGGGACGAAGTTGAGACAGGATAAACTTGCTAATGAACATATGCGCTCGGGAGGCTCGTGCGCTCTAATGGCATGCCACCGACTCGGCAACTGCGAGGGCCTATGGCCAGGAGAAGCTCTGAGAGACTGGCACAACAGCCTGATGACAGAGATTTAGGCAATACATCACCCATCTTCTACACTGGGCTTTGTGATGCTGAGGTGTTCGTGAACATCATAGATTTTATTTCAAGGCTTGTCGAAGTTGAGATCTGTGTCACTTCGAAAAGCATTTATCCCCTATTGATTTTTTTTACATGATCGGAAATATTGTGCAGTTTTCTGTTTGATAAACAAAAAGCGAGGATTAGATGATGTTCGAAGCATTCATGATTGAAACTGCAATTACAACCCAGAATACCAGCGACAATCCTGGACGCGCATCCGATTGCACCGCCATCTAGACAAAGACATTGGCGACATCTATCGAAATCTTCCGGGTTCGGAGCGCTACCAACTCACGGCTACAGTATTGATCCACAATTAGAGAGGCGAATGCATTGATAATGTCCCAGATCATCAGCATGATTGGTCAAATAACAGCCCATGTCATACCCGGTATTTTTAACAGCACATAACAAGACAATTTGATAAATATTCGAACCCGTATTGAGACAACGGCAACCGACAAAGTCATGAGAGGGCGTAAGAAGCAAGACAATTTTTGTGTTAGCCAGTCTGAATCTTCCACCCAAAAAATGTAACTGTAAAATACACAAATCCAGTTAATTGGTAGACGCTCCCATTCCAATCCCGTCCTGTCCAAACCATAATCCCAACCATCACTCCCAAAGTCCCGGCGGCGGCGACTGACCTTTGAAGGCAGGCAGCTTCTCCAGCTCGCGGTTCCTGGACAGGTTGAAAAGCGACGAGCTCTGGCGACGGTCCTTGCGCATGGTCGGACTGCTGCTGTTGCCAAACTTCATCTTGCTGGCGGCGGGCGGCGGGGCGCCAGAGGCGGCGGGCCCTCCGCTGCCGGCCGCAGAGCGGACGGCCGCACTCTGACGGTGGAAGGCGGACGGTGAGGTGAAGGCATGAAGGTGAAACAGAGACATGGTGATAAGACAGAGGGGAAATGGTGAGACAGAGGCCCAGTGTCCTACCTACAGTGGGGCAGAGGAGCAGGAATAAGACAGAGATATGTACAATGATGAGACAGGCACAGTGGTGAGACAAGAGGCATAATGGTGAGATAGTCAAAGGAACTATGGCAAGACAGGCTAGAACATTGAACTCCAAACTCTGCCATAGAACCGGAATGGCACGATCGGATGGTAGAGGGCAGGGTCAACACAACAAGCTTCACTTAGCAGGGGCTCTGTACTTGTGAATCCTTCAATTCAAAAGGTTAGGACTAAATGCATTTTTAAAAATGCTAATAGCTTTACACAATATCAAGCATGAATTGTGTGCATCAGAGATAAAATCAAACATAATTTGCAAATCACATCAATAAACATAGAATATTATCTTCATTTCATGAATCTCTTAACAATCAACAGTATGTACACCTAGTAAGTAGTAACTAGTATGCGTACTAAAAAACCATAAAATCTTACCTCATCACTGGAGACACTTGTCACATCATCTTTTCCTTTCTTATTTGCTTCCTGAAATGAGCAATATTTGTAAGTGCAATAGCCATGTGTAATTGTATGCAGCAAAATGCGTTTTGGTGATCACTCATCAATCATGTCACAAATGAAATTCATTTAGGATTATTTTCACTGAGATTAAAGAATGAGTGGCACTGTAAACACAACTTTACATAATAAGTGTAAAAAGCTCCACTTAAGTTCCACAACATCCTACAAGCTGGTGTGGAATTTCCACACAATTCCATTCAGCAGTTATGTGATATTCAATAATTTGAGTACTTAGGTATTTCTGTGCATCAATCTGTTAATTTTCAAACTGAAGAAGAAAATTTCCAAAATATATTCATTCATTTTAGGCGGAGTTCAGACTTCTAAATATTAGTGAGCATACCTACTGTTATTCCCCCGCATTAGATGAGGTTGGCTAAGATCATAATTCATAGCTCCTAGACAACTTTGAAGACAATATCAATATACCTACTTCCATGAGTGACACAGACAGAATACAGATGACAAAACAATGTTCAGCTATTGTCATTTGTATTCAGTACTGCTGTCCAAAGGCAAAAGCGATTACATTCAGGTGAACCCTTGCCTGAGGATTTACCTCTGACCTGACATATCGTTTTTGCCTTCGCATGGCAGAGTAATGCAAGACACTCTGTTTCAGCAGTCAGCACACTTAGTCATTAAGAATTTGCCCTTTTCTTACAATGCAAAGTCCTCAGGGCACAAAAGTGGTCCTTACTTGTAGCACTGGCTGGAAAAACTGCTATTTCCTTATGAAGAGCAGGGTGCCCAGTCAACATTCCAGTTATGTTCGTGATATATTGTGGTTAAATATATTAGTAGCTCATTCATGGCTACTTAAGTGTCATAATTTACTCATAATTCATGTGAAAAATCAAGCAGAAACACTTCTTGATAAATCTTAATGTTTTAAACATCACAACACTATAAATATTATACAAATATATTGTATTATGTTCATCAGTAGGTATATCTTCGACAGATATTTGGAAATTTGAGACTGCTGTTAAGTTTTGGGTTATATCATTTTAAACATGAAGATAAAGAGAAAATTACCTTTTAAATGTATTTTTATCAAAAATTTCGCAAAAATAATAGGAACTTAAAGAAAAATGACTGCGAAAAAGGGTGTAACAAAAATTAGACAAAAGCAGCGCAGTCAGCCCAGAAATATGCGAACGTTGTTCGCGAAACGGCGAAGACCAATCTAGGTTAAATTGAATGGCAGACGTAGCACACCATCCACATTTTGACAAAGTACTCGAATATCATCCACCGGTCTTACCTTTTCTTTCTTCTGCTTGTTTGGCATTTCCACGCCCCTTTCATACCCATTCACGCAAAATTGTAAACTGTCACTTCAAGGTTCTAGAATTTATGTGCAAATGAATTTCATTTTCTTACGTATCAAACTAATGACGTCATCACTAGTTCGCTGGCAAATTGAAATGTCGGATTACTTTCTTAATTTAGTTGTCACTCGTCTTTATCTCTAATTTATTTTTGACTGTTAATGTTTATTTTCTATACAGCGTCAGACGATCGGCGTTTTACACTGCAAGATCCGAAAAGGGGCTCTTAGGTAAGTCTTAGAAGTTGCGTAACGAGGAACTACTATGGACGTCAAACCCCTTGAGACCCCTTGAGAGAGCGTTAAAGGTAGTGTGCCAGCTTTCTTGGACCGTATGGAGTTAATGGCCCAGATAAGGAGAACCGGATTTTTAGAACTTATCCATACCTTCAAAACTCATGGAAACGTCTTAAATTCTTCAAATTTTGAGTACCCCAGTGCGAAATTCGCCCCGACGGGTTGTCGGTCGTACCCCAACCACATTTCACACCACTATGAACAATAAATGCACACACTGAAATCGCTATTACCGATATGCTCATCCAATCAAGTTTCGATAAACCCGTTCATCATCATCTCCTGCGGTTTCGAACACGCCTGTTAGGTGGCTTCTGATGCTCGTCGAGGTCGGAATTTCCAAATACGCGTGGTGCGTCGGGCCGCGCGCTCTGACTTCGGCCAAGAAAAATGCGTCAGCTGATCATTGTCATTTCTGCCACTTGCGTGTTGTGAAATGGGGTCATAACTTATAAGACGGCTTTTTCATATCAATTATTTTACATAAAATCATATTTCAAACCATAAATAATGTTTGACAGCCAAATAAAAGAAACAATACCAATACGGGCTTACAGTTTAAGCATGGAAAGGCTCGACATTGTGTTGTCTACGATTAGACAGCTGATAACTCATTCCCGTACGTCGTATGGTCGTAACACTATAATGACCTTTGCTTATTGTCACAAGTGCGCCGCATTCGCGATTGTTGCCCGACGCCTGTTTGCAGGTGAGCCCACTACAGTTGTTATACATATCTAAAAACCGAAAAACTTTTAGGCGAAAAAGGCACTATTCCAGGCCCATTTTTGATTTTTTTGCGATATTAGGTAAAAACAGAAGCTTCTTATCCTAGGAAAAATAAAATGGGAAATCTTTCAAAGGTGGCACCAGGGCGTATTTTAACATGTTAACTGGGTCGGCAATTGCCGACCCAGTCACGGAGAATGCCGACCCAGTGACAGCCGTTTGCCGACCCAGTTGCCGCCCCCTCTAGGCATGCAGGCTAGGTGCTGTCATTCATAGTGAGGCTGCTGCCCTCCGAAATGATAATGCCGCCTCTTAAAGTGAAGCAGCCGTCTATAGAAAGTGATGATCCCGCAACTCAATGTGACAGTGCCGCCCCTAAATATGTTAGTAGCCCCACTCAATGTAATGGTGCCGCCCTTCTAAGCATCTGTGGAGCCCCTCAATGTGATGATACCGCCCCTCAAGAAGATGATGCGGCCCCTTTCAGTATCGGTGGCGCCCCTCAATGTGATGGTGCCGCCCTCAAAGTGCCGTTGGCGCCCCTGAATGTGATGGTGCTGCCCGCCAACGAGTCGGTGGCGCCCCTCAAAATGATGCTGCCGCCCCTTAAAGTGTTGGCGCCGCCCCTCAAGCAGATGATGCCGCCCCTCAAGAAGATGATGCCGCCCCTCAAGAAGATGATGCCGCCCCTCAAGAAGATGATGCCGTCCCTCAAGAAGATGATGCCGCCCCTGAATGTGATGGTGCTGCCCGCCAACGAGTCGGTGGCGCCCCTCAAAATGATGCTGCCGCCCCTAAAAGTGTTAGTGCCGCCCCTTTATAGTGTCAGTGACGCTCTTCGAAGTGTCAGAGGAACCCACCAATATAATGGTGCCGCCCCTCTAGGTATCCACATAGCCCCTCATTGTGATGGAGCTGCCCCTCAAGCAGATGATGCCGCCCCTCAAGAAGATGATGCCGCCACTTTCAGTATCGGTGGCGCCCCTCAATGTGATGGTGCCTCCCTCAAAGTGCCAGTGGCGCCCCTAAATGTGATGGTGTCTCCTGTCAACGAGTCGTTGGCGCCCCTCAAAATGATGCTGCCGCCCCTAAAAGTGCTGGTGCCGCCCTTTACAGTGTCTGTGGCGCCCTTCAAAGTTTTGGAGGAACTCATCAATACAATGTTGCGGCCCTCTAACTTTCTGTAGCGCCCCTCCATATACATAATGGTGCCGCTTCTCAAACCATCCGTGGCGCCCCTCAAAGTGATGGTGCCGCCCCTTACAGTGTCGGTGGTGTCTCCTCAAAAGTCAAGGTGCCGCCTCTCAAAGAAATGCTGGTGTCCCTCGAAGTGTCGGAGGCGCTCCTCAATGTCATGTTGCCGCCCCTCAAACCTTCCGTAACGCCCCTCCACGTCATGGTGCCGCCCCCAATGTGCTCACGGCGCCCTTAAATGTGATAGTAACGCCGGTCAAAGTGCTCCTGGCAGTGTCGGTGGCGCCCCTTATAATGTCGGTGGCGCCCCGAACAATATCGGTGGTGCCCCTTAAAGTGATGATGTCACCCTCAAACAAACGGTGGCGCCCTTCGAAGTATCGGAGTCCCTAAATAACTATCATACCTATTGCCGTCCATTAACGATCTGTAGCGCCCCTCCATATGATGGAGCCGCCCCTTAAAGTATCCGCGGCGGTCCTTAAAGTTACAGTGCCGCCCCTTACAATGTGGGTGGCGTCCTCAAAATAAAAGTGATGTTGCCCCCCCCCCCGAGTAATGGTGGCATCTCTTCTTTAAGTATCGGAGGCGCTCCTCATTGTCATTTTGCCCCACATCACTGCTCACATGGCGCCCTTCAATGTAATGGTGCCACCCCTCAACGCTCAACGAGATAATTGCGCTCCTCACAGTGTCGGTGGTGCCCCTCAAAGTGGTTAAAGTGCCCTAAAAAAAATTGGTGACGCGTCTCGAAATGATGTTGTCGTCCCTTAGCATATCTGCTGCGCCCCCAAAATGATAGTGCCTTCCCTTAACCCTCGCCCGCACATGGGGGTGGTGGTTGCAGTCCCCCCCCCCCCCAGGTAGTCTTTCTGCTCTGCACTCAACATTTTTAGAGCTAGAAGGCCGATTTTTCGTATAGCTGCTCCTCTATCCTTTCTTGATGTCCACTGAAAATTTCAAGTTTCTGTGATTTTTGGTTTCGGAGATATGACCTTGTTTTTCAGGTCATGTCATAACCCAAATGGCCAATTCTCAACATCTTGCGTTTGCCATGGGCCTTGTGAGCTTTTGACACCTTGATTTCGGTCTTTTTTGCCAGTCTTACCTCCCACCTATCATGGAACATGTTGTTCGACGAGGTACATGTGTCAAGGTCAGGGTCAAGGTCAACCTAGGTCATCTAAGATAATTGCGTTTTAGGCAAGCTGAATTTACTTTTTGTGATTTTTTTTTTTGACAGCATTTTTGGTAAAAGCTTCTCAGATCATGATTTCATGTAATATGGACACAAAAACAATCGGTGCACACATCAGTATACACACAGACACACACAGACATACAAACACATATAATTGACCTTGACCTAACTTGACCTGAAATGACCTCAGCAGCAAAAATCTGGTCGAGTAGTGTGACAAAGAGGTTCTAGCTGGCTTGGCACCAGAAAACAGCATCGTCATCGGTATATGATAAGCAGCGCACTTGATATCCAGCGGTGACCCAAAACAGCAACATTTTTTAGTTTGACCTGACCTGGAAGGTCAATGACTGACCTGAGAAGGTAAAACTGGGTATCATTGGATTCGTCTCTTCCCAAAGAATCTTTTTGGTCTTACCGCTAAACTCTAGCTCCAACAGGAACGAAATGGCGAGGGGGGTGGCAACCACCCCCCCCCCCCCATGTGCGTTCTAGGATGGGAAAATGGTATGTGCGGGCGAGGGTTAACCGACGCCGGGCTGAGGCTGTTTGAACCCCCCTCCCGACCCCTATAACTTGGCTACTGGGCCACTTAGCGACACGCGGTAAGCGGCATTCGAAAGAGTGTCAAAAACTACTTGGGTTAGTTGGTTAACCGTACTTTGGTTAGGTCAAGTCAAATGTCAAATATCAGGTAACCAGAGGTCATCAAAGGTGAAATGTGGGTGAAATGTTGTCTGTTTCAACATTTATTGACAAACTGGCGCATAACTCGGGGAAGAATAGAACTACAGCACCGCGAAAAAGCGCATTCGATAGCTCTTCAACGTTCCTACTTCCTATAAAGTCATCAGACTTGACCTAACATCAACGGCTTAAAGGGACCCTCCCACCTTCAAAAAAGTTTATGAATTGGCATGAAAGTGATGTCGCTCGGTTCAGAAAGAGTGAAAACGAATATCTACTAAATTTCACCGAAAAATATTCACCGGTTTTCAAGATATTAGACTTTTACTTTTGTTTACTTTTTTGGGATCTCCGCTGCTTCTAGCGACTTTATTTTAGAAGTGCGGCGTTTGCGGCAGATGTTGCGCGCAAATAGCATATGCCACCGCGTGCTACAAAACGTTTTAGTCAAACATTTAAAAATCGTTAGATATCTGCGCTGACGTCACACATTCAGAGGGGTATTCCTAAGCATTAGCCCCTCTGAATCAAAATGCTGCAATTTTGAAATTCAATATTTCCGATTTAAGGCATTTCTCGATGTTGTGAGTGCCGAAACCGGTAATTGTGAGCCAGGGACCCCATTTTGGCTATCTCAACTCAAATCTAATGTTAAGGTGGGAGGGTCCCTTTAACCTCCAGAGCACAACTTGTTTAACCCGTGCCGGGCCGGGGAGGGTTCGAGGGGACAGTGGACCCCCTCCGCCCCTCTACTGAGCTGTTTTAATGAGGAACCTTTCTACTGTAATAATTATTGACTCATGAAAGTTATGACATTGTTTTTTTTTTAGTACTGTGCTCCTCTCGTCGAGATGCGTCGAATGAACTATTATTTGACATTCAAATGTCATTTGGGAAATTAGCGCTCAGGTCCAGGGCATTACCTGACTGGTAAAGGTCATGTTGCATATCAGTCGATTTGTATCGCCAAACTGAAATCATCTAAGGTGTTTTCATCGCTCAGGCATATCGCATGTCTCTATCAGAAGTTATTGAAAAAACTGCTGGAGGCCTTCCATGACCTGACATTACCTCAAGGACATAACGAGGGGTCGTGGGTGGCAATTTTCCGATTAAGTGTGTCATTTTTAATTGTTTTCTTATGTTATGTTTAAATTCGTTAACTTTGACATTTGTCTACCTATAAAAAGAGGCACATGCCCTTATTTCCTCCCATTTCATTATACCTAATGAAAGGGTCGCAAAATTGTCCTTATACCTTTGGTCAGGTCAAAGACATCGCAATTTCGAGACTTCCATTTTATATATACAGTTACACACTGTTTGTCTTATCAATCGCTGAAGTTATAAAGGGATCGTTCAGTCGGTATATCTATGGTGAGCATTTGCCTGTTCCGTAGCTCAGTTGGTAGCGCACCGGACTCCCCGCATTGTCTTCGCTTGCGTTTTGTCCGCCGGCCGAGCCGGAGAGAAAGTTACCGAGTGAAAGTCATTCAAATTTCAAAAACTCAATGACAATGTCACTGGGGTCACGAAAATGTTTGAGTAGTTAGGTATAACATTCATTAACTTGGGGGGGGGGGAGGGATGAACGTATCGTTGCAATACGCTGTTCATTACGCGAGTAACTAACAAATAAAAAATGTACGAGTTCATCATTACTCCACCCGCTCTCCCTCTCCATAAAAAAGAGAGTTAATTGTGTTGCATTTTATTCATACCTATGCAGAAAAATAGAGGCGTCAAAGGATATGGCCGAATATCAGCGACCCTTGCCGTGTAAGCAATTGGGTATGGCAAGTGGGGGTAATGGCCCCGTCCAGCGCCCATAAAGTGGGCACCACTCGTGCGACCTGCTGACCAATGTTCTAGATAGAGCCATAAAACACCGTGAATATTTTAAGCTGACGATACGGATCGACTGGTATGCAACATGTTTTGTTTCTGGTGAGGTCATGAACTTGACCTCAGTTAATTTTTTTTTTTTGTAGTCAAATTATAGTTCATTTATCGCATTATGATGAGAGAAATACTATATCCCGGAAAAATAAACGTAATACTGCTGAGCTTAGGTTGAATCTGAAATCATTACTTAGAAATATTTATAAAAGAACCGTCGAACATGTCTTTTTTGGTCATTAAATATCAGTAGGTATGCCGCCCCCCTCAGATGCCAAGTGCCGCCCCTATGAGTGCAAAATGCCGCCCCTAATTGTGATTGCCGACCCAGTGAAAATCCCTTATAATACGCCCTGGGTGGCACACTACCTTTAACTCTTGTTGACGATATTCTGGCAAGGTAGGTGTGATTCAGAACCTGCCGAAACTTTTATTACTAAGGTATTTTGACGCCAAACGATAATGAAAGGTACTTCTAATTTACTCGTAATGTTAAATTTCACGGAACGAATCTGCTGGTTGGGTAGAGGCTACGCGTTCATGGGGCGGAGTCACGTAATGACGTCAGCGCTAAGCTCCGCCCTACCCCTCCGGCGCTCCTTGCCCGGCGTCCGGTCACTCGCGTCTCACAAGTCACATGCATTTATATCAGGAACTATGATAGCTAGAAAAACGCATGGAAAAGCAATCGACAGCTTTTGAACTCTTCTTTTGACAAGGTCATTATCAAAATTGACCTAAGGTCAACGGTTTAGCCTCCAGGGGGCACAAACTCCAAAAAATAGCTGTTTTTACGAAAAGAGTTTTTCGACAATAACTTTTCACCAAAAAAAGCCACGACATTTCTATTGCCAGAATCGTGTTCCTCTCACCGAGACGCGTCGAATGAACTACAATTTGACCTCGAAAGGTCAACTTGAAAATTTGACCTCAGGTCAAGGTCATGACCTGACCAGAAAAGGTCATGTTGCATATCAGTCGATGCGTCTCAACAAGACAAACACAATGAGGCCATCCCCAGCGTCCTATCTCTTTCCAATCGAGAGACTGAGTTATTGGCAAAAAGCTGTTTGTAGCCTCAAATGACCTCGGATGACCTTTCTAGAGGCTATCAGCAAAAAAAGACACCTTGGTCGTCACGAGTGATCCAAATCATTGTGATTCTGAAATATTTGGACTGTTCCTATGCGTACACACGCCACACGGATCTAGAGGCATTTTTATTTTTCTCCATTGACTTATGGTAAGGTCACGCCACTGGCCTGACCTTAGGTCACGGATATAAAAATCCGAGATATAAAAATTATAGGCGCCCATAACATCATGCAATCCACCAAGTTTAAAACCGTTCTGACAAACACTGCAGGCTGGACATGATTGCAAACTTTTTTAGGCTTGGTCAGTTAACTTGACCTGGTGACCTGACCTAACATGACCTGTGGTCAAAAATTTCACACATTGTCCAAAATTAATGTACAAAAAGCTACTCTAAGCGGTGCGGCGCTACGCGCCGTGGTTTTTTATTCACACGCAAAAAACGCGACAGGGTGGTAACATACACCCCTCCCCCCCCCACTGGGGCGAAGGTTAAAGGACGGAGCGCGTCAATATTGCCTCAAGGCTTCGTCTGATCGCTAAAATAATGGTCGCAATCGATTCCGGTCGTGAGGTATCATTCACCTGACCCGGCATGTCGGCCGATCTGTGACCCCCACCCCCCCCAAAAAAAAAAAAATCACCTAGATCCTCTGACCTGCTCATGGGTGGAGAATGTTTGAAAAAGTTACCCCGGCCGGCGACCGAAAGTCAGAAAGACGATGATGCACAAATATTTGTCAACGGTTATCAACAAACCCCTATTCTGTGGCATGGAACAATGGATGTCTGCCGTTACGAGTTATCCAATGTTTTATTTGCAGTGATTTAGCTCGAATTTTTGAATGGACCGATTGACAGAGCCGGGGGCCCACGCTAAGCAGAGCTTGTTGCGTAGGTAGACCCCGAACCCTACCGTCCGATCGCGCAATTCCGGGTAACGGGATAATTTAGATGCCAAAGTTTAACGTGCCCTTCAAAGCCGGACACGGCCTGTCCCACTCAACTGACTTCAACTGGCTGCGGCTGCTCCCACCAAACGCAGACCATCACCGTCAGGAGCCTCAAATATCGAGCGCCGGAGCGACTCGAACCCGGGCTCTCGGGAGTCCGATGCTCTACCAACTGAGCTACGGGACAGGCTTATGTTATGAACTTTGAGAAAAGTCGTTGGAGAACGCTAAAATCAGAGAAATTGGGCTTTTATTGTCTATGGTGATTTTATGATTGAGCTTGCCTAAAACTTGATCAGATTTCTCTGACCACGTTTGTCCCTCTTTCAAACGTCGTTCCGCTTTTCGCCTCGTAGCCCAGTAGCCGAGTTAGAAGGAGCGTGAAACGCCGACCGCTCGGCGCTCGACTCAACGTGTTAGGTACGATAGGGCCACCACCCTGGCGCGGGTTAAGTTGGAGGAGCCTTGAGCCCCAGCCCCCAACAGCTCGTCCTTCTATCTCACTGATATTACCCTCGACCTCTCTTGTGATGATATTGCAGTGCCATCTTACGATAACGGCCCTTAAATATGATTTTGGTTTGTTAGATGAAACTTGTCGGGCTGCGCGATGAAAAAAATTGAGAGCATAGAAGCTCCAAAATGAAAATAAAGTAAATTTTAAAAAACCTTTCAAGGTAGATAAGAATAATGAGAGACACTAATAGGTGGCAGTTTTTCGCATGAAGATAGCTTTTAGGATTTACAAAAGTGGACAAAGTTACCCCGGCCGCGCCGGGGTAGGCTGAAAGTTACCCCGGCCACGGCCGGGGTGGCCGGGGCAGGTTCTCCACCCATGGACCTGCTCAAAGATTTAAAGATCACTCACTTTTGACTTTTGACCCAGGGTCTTACAGGGTGATACAGGTGCTTCGAAGCTCGCTTATTCCTAGAAATATTTTAGCTAAGATGTGTATGGCGTATAGTAGAGACGCTGTCAGCAAAAACAGACGGTAAAGTAATGGACATCGAACACCGAGTTAAGTTTTATTTTACCGTACTGTTCGTTTAAATATGATCCAAAGTAAAATATGCGTGCTCTCGAGCGGTGATTGCCGTCGATGAAGAAAGCGATATTAGTGTCGATGATGCTTTATATAAGCCCACATACAACAAATATTCAAAAAATGTATTCACTGATAACCGGAACATTGTAGTTTCATATCGCGTTTGCCAAAAAATACCTACACTCATAAGTAGTGCATAAAAGGTAACACAATAGCCCACACCAACTGAAACGATTCACCAATGCACCAATAACCGTTATTGCTGGTTCAGCGGAATCTCCTTCCAAACATCAACAAAGCTGAGTAGTGCATCGCCGTTTGTACCGTTCACCCTATTTGTGGCGGAGGGGGAGGGGGGGGGGGTCATCAACGCCTCAGGTTTTTCAAGAATCCCTCTGGAACGGCCTAAAGGTAAAATGCTGAAAGTTGCTGACTCTGCTTAAAACTAAACTGGACACATTCCCTAAAAATTTCAAGCTGCTACCTGTAACAGGGGCGGTTTCAGACCATCAGAAATCGGGAGCTCCTATTCGTAAAGTGAGTGTTTTGGGTGAACACCACGATGCTGATGTCAGATCCATTATAGGTACCTAACTGTATGCACCAGTTTTATGAACAGCGACTAAAACCTACCATGTGATAACATATGCAGAATCAAACATAACATGAATCATGTTATCTATGGCAGAGTGGTTGTGCATCATCTTTTGATACGTTTTTCCCATAATAGGCGGATCCAGGTATACAAAAAGAGTTTCATGTATAGGTACATGCACTGTACCATCTGATGAACGCTTTGGTAGTAGTTAGATTGCCCTGGATCGATTGAATTCATTATATTCATGTGGCCTTAGCCGCGGTAAACAGTCAAAAAGTATCTGAAGTTGTCCAGTGGAATCGAATGCCGTTTAAATTGCAAAAATCAGCGGGTTAGATCTCGGATATCAAGGGGGGGCGTAAACAGCCCGGCCCTCCCCTTGCCACTAATATGTAGGGACTAGGGGTAGCCAGGAGCCTGCCACTAATAGGGTTTAAGTTAAACATGCGTATTGCGTACCTACCTATGAAATTGTAGCCGTTTTAGGTACCCTCGGCGAGATTAAACGAATGACACTGTTCAGTATTGATATAAAAAGAAACTACTTTATGATTTAATAATTAGGGCTCTGAAATTAGTAAAATATCCAAACCGGGCGGTCGTTCATCGCCATCGCTGTGGCCTGTGCTTACAAGTTACAAGCACTATCACTCGTTGACCCGAACCGTGCACCCCAGCGCACGCGCATTAACGACGTACATTGCTCCCGAACAGACCCTAGAACCGACCACCGGCGGACACCCGCGGACACAACGGATGTGGGTCGATCACACAATCCACACACCTCCCGGCGCTAACAACAAACACCTGCGTTGGTGGACACTTCAGTCCTGTGAGGTCAGAGGTCAGGATGGTGCAGCAACTATCTCCGCAGCGTCCTCTCAGGCCACAGCTGCTACCCGGGCCAACCTGACCGGTGGTGCCCCCTATGTTCGGCGCCGTGTCCAACTCCAAGGTCTGGCCGAGGTCAATGCCGGGAGGGACGAGTCCACTTTCGGTGAGAGGGGAGGTCACATCGGTGGTGCGGAATGGGCTTGGCAGGGCCTGCGTAGAGACTACCAGAGCCAAGATGAGCATCTGTGAATGAAAAACAAAGGAGAAATTCAGAGGGCTATCACAAACTTACGAGGAGAAGAAAAACAAAAACAAACGCTAAGACGTTTTACGCTATGGGGTGTGCAGTAGGCTACCTGAATACCTATTTTATGAAGAAGCTTCTATTGAGCACCGTTTGACACCAATGAAGTCCAGGCTAACACATTACATACTAAAAGATCACATAGGGTCCTGTGTCACTTCCTCACTCCTATGCTCATATAAGACCAAAGTATGAACTATGAAGGTATGCTGCTATGAAGGCAATGACACCACAAAAAATATTAACCCTGGCCCGTATGGGGGGGGGGGGGTCGAACGAACCCTTCTCGGATTTTCGCGAATAACTCGCGTAAAAAGCAGCCGATCGCAAAGACCATGGGTGTCGATTTCTGCCGAGTTGGGGGTGCCCGAGCGTAGCAAATCCGCCGCCGCCCTAGCGGTGACCTTGACCCGCGCCGCCTGCTGGGGCTCCAAATTCCCAGCCGGCCGAGCTGGCTGGGAATTTGGAGAGCTCGGGCACCCCCAACCCGGCGGAAATCGACACCTATGGCAAAGACCTTTCAGTACCCTCGCATTTATCAATTTTACACCTACCCTGGAAATTTCATGACCCTGACCCAAATGACCTTTGACCTGTGACTTACTTTTCGAGACCATGTTTGGCCGGAATCGCGATTCGGCGTATGTCGGCTCGCATTAGCCGCGCGTTTGCAGTCTTCGTGGTTTCAAGCGTTCAAACATGTGATATGATGTTGCCCCCATGCATTAGGGTGGGTGTCTAGGTCACCTGAAGGTCAGGTCAGGTCATTGACCTTTGATGACCTCGTTCCACTTTTTTGAGTTTTGCATGTTTCTAGGCTAGTTTTGGAGCTGTATTCGATTTAGCACATGAAAACAATATGAACATTTACGAAGTAGTTTTGGTGCCTTCGTAACATGTTACGAAGCTGTCAGAGCCGGTTGACACCTGCTACGAATACCCGGCAGGACCCCTGCTGGTTGACCTGACCTGGCCTGACCCAGCCTGGACTAAATGCATGAACACATCATTTGTGATCAAATCTAACATGACATTCGTGATCAGCACCCCGAAAAACCACAGCAGCCACACTTTACGACGCTCTAACAGGTCCCGACTTTCCCAACTTTTGGGTCATTGACCTGACTTGGAAGGTCAGCGAATGACCTAGGACCTTAAAACTAGGTATCATCGGCTTCCTCTTGTCACGGGCAACACGATCGTTTTTTTTTCCGCGAAGCTCTTGCTCCATGCAGGGGTGAAACGGCAAGGGGTCCAACGGACCCCCCCCCCCTTATACGTTCGCGGCTGGAAAAAAAAACACCAATGTGGGCGAGGGTTAAGTTTCTGTGTAAATTAACTTACAATAAAAAGGCAAAAGCAATTCCAAATACGGCCATTCCTTACCATGTTCACCAGCGGATGGTTGTTGCCGTAACCCTTCGTCATAATGAAACCTTCCGAATGAGCTGCCTGGCTCCACCGTCTGTCCTTCAAAGCTCTGTGGCTCGTCCTGTCAGCTCTGCTCCAGCCAGAGGTTTGAACCCGACACCCGCGCTCCACGAGCGTGGCGTGCTGTGTGGCCGGTCCGTCTGAACAGGCCCTTTTGTTCTACAGACAGCGGGCTCCTGTTGGAACAAAGCCAGCGGGTGTTATGTGGGAAATACCAGCAGAGGCGACTCCAGGGCAGCCGCTGGGGGTGTCGGACAGTGTCGAACACACCCTGGGGTGGTTTGTAAACCACAGTAGACCGCCGCCGCGCTGGGTGGGTGAATGACAGAGAGGTGAGTCACGGCAGAATTCCCGGAGCCGGGGGAACGACATGGCTGGAAAGACACGTGGTTTGAGGTAAATGGTCTGATAATTTGTGGTTGTGGTGTAGGTATGAACGAAGGTCACCTTATGTGATATCATATAATATTGGTAAATATTGCACGGGTTATCCCATTCAATTACATGGCATAAAACTAGTTTCGTAACAACGTTTCGTGACGACATTTGTACATTGAATATTTGGGAAAAGCCACCAAGTATGAGCTGAATGTCTTGCGGCGTTTCGCAATGGTATCTACAAGAAAAACCTGAGAGCGTGCTTTTTTGCCCAGGAACAGGGTTAAAGGGACCCTCCCACCTTCAAAGAAGTTTATGAATTGGCATGAAAGTGATGTCGCTCGGTTCAGAAAGAGCGAAAACGAATATCTACCAAATTTCACCGAAAAATATTGACCAGTTTTCAAGATTAGACTTTTACTTTTGTTTACTTTTTGGGATCTCCGCTGTTCCTAGCGACTTTATTTGGAAGGGAAGCAATAGTTTGGCAGCTGAAAATGTGGCACTTGTTGCGCGCAAAGCAGCATATACCACCGCGTGCTACAAAACGTTTTAGTCAAACATTTAAAAATCGTTAGATATCTGCGCTGACGTCACACATTCAGAGGGGTATTCCTATGCATTATCCCCTCTGAATCAAAATGCTGCAATTTTGAAATTCAATGTTTCCGATTTAACCCTATTCCTGGCGGGCTCCGCCGGGACAAGAAACTGGCGGGGGGGGGGGGGGCGATTCGGCCCCCCTTCAGATCTCAAAAACTACACATCGCAGCGACAAACGGTAAACGGCATCGGATACGCACGGTCAAGATCTACAATTTTTACTAAGGTCATTTTCAGGTCAGGTCAAAGATGACGTCACAGGGGTCGAAAAACTCAAAATGGCGGCGCTAGATATGGAGAGTTTTTCTCGAATAACTTTAGAATTAGTCAAGATAGGAACAAACTAAGGGCAGCATCGTGATCCTCTCGTCAATCCGCATCGAATGATATATATGTTGACCTCGAAAGGTCAAGGTCAAAGGTTGACCTCAGGTCACGTGACCTCGAGGTCATCATGTATATCATTCGATGCGTCTTGACGAGCTGAACACAATGAGACCATCCACGCGTCTGTATCTTGTTCCTGTACGGAGTTATTGGCCAAAAACCTTTGGTGACCTTTGATGACGTCACATGACCTCACAGCTGCCCAACAGCAAAACAGACCTCAAGATAGTGAAGGTTGATCGTATATGAAGTCATGTATGGTATATGGGGCCATTCCGACCCGTTTTAGTGGTAAAAACAGGGAGTTGATTTTTCCCCCATTGACTTATAATGGGGAGGTCGCGAAACTGACCTGACCTTAGGTCACCGATATCAAAATTCCGAGATATACACATTGCACATACTGGTACCCTAACTAAAGCCTGAAGAGAATATCTCAACTCAAATGTAATGTTAAGGTGGGAGGGTCCCTTTAAAAGCCAATTTAAACCTTTGGAGATCATCGTTTGCCCTAAAGGACCTAAGTAGGGGCCGCTGCGACCGGAGTAGGGTTCTCAAATGGCGACACGGGTCCCCAAAAGGCGACTTCATCTTAGAAACGACGAAGAGAAAATCCCCCTCCCCCCCTCCGGTCGTCAAGTTTCATCCACCAGACCAGGCACGCCGACCGACCTGTGACACCCCCCTCCCCAAAAAAAAACTTTGCCTAGATCCGCCGTTGATATCACCCTAAAATGAACAGATTAAAAACAGCTTCGGATTTTGATTCATTACTCATTGCTGTAAAATTTAAATAAGCTTTTCCTAAAAAAGTTGTACATCTTCTTTTTATTCTCGAAAAAAAAACGTAAATTTTCGTCGATTTCGGGCGGTGCGAGGGGTATGTAAGAATTGTCATCAATGTCCCCCACCCTCCCACTGCATACGCCAGTGGTGTTGTAAAAGACTTATGCGTAGGAGTTCATTTAATCGGCAATCGGCTTGTAGAGGGTAATGCGAAAATAATGGCACAAGGCAACGAAGCATTATATCGATGTTATTCAAAGACAATTAAGTTACTAAAACCGTCTAACTCCTACTCACCTACACTGTGCGCCTTACGGCTCTCCAAAAATTGAACGGCTCGACCAGCCCTTGGACTGTATTTAGGGCCTTGGACCATCCAACGTTTGATCCGCTCGCTAAGGCGGCAGATCAGTGGATCATGTGAGCCTAAATAGCAGCACACAAAACATTAACGATAAATAATCGCCGACCATAATTTAAATTAAAGTAACAATGCAATAAAAACTAATTACAATAACATGCCTACCAAAAAGCCAAAAATATGGATACCGACGAACCGATCACATTTCGGGCCGCCACAGTCATCCCTGGGACAATCCAATAACTAAAAACCCACCAAGGCCCTCGCTAGGTGGCACACATAATGGCGAGGACGGCGCCAACTGCGCCCTGTTTCAAGGCACGACGCTTCAGCGCATGCCGTGCCCCCAGTCACCCGCATTGTGGAATATACCTGATACTACAGTAGTACGCGGCATATTCCTTTCAGCGCGTAGTTCGTACTTATATGAAATAAGAAATGCAACAACTTGGAAAGCATTGGTGATGTTGCTGCTTTTGCTGCCACCTCATGCCTCTACTCTTTGCGGTCTTGCTGCTGTTAACCCCGTTGTTAGGTACTTCTCTATCTGCTGCTTCTGTTCCTGCTGTTGCTGTAGCTGATTCTGTTGCCGCTGCTGTCGCTGTTGCTTCTGTTGCTGCTGCTGTAGCCTGTACATATACCTATGCTGCAGTATGTTTCTCGCCATTTACTCCTCTACTGATTACCAATGCTGATTTTGCTGCGGCTTATGCAGCTGTTGTTGTTTCAGGCTAGCAGAGGGCTGACTCCAGGCTGCCCCTAGCAGAAGCCGCAAGAGCTGCCTTCCTAACACAGTCAGGAACAGCAGAAGCTCCCATAGGCTGAGCACGCTCATGCCAAAGAAGAGGCCAGCCACACCTCCGACTCCTTGGTACCAGTCCATTAACCCGGGCATCACCGCTGAGAATCTGGTAAAGACTATGTCTGAGTAGAATATGGTGACAGCCGAAGTGTTGGTATCGTCGACCGGCCGCTGCTCGTAGGTGGTTGTGACACGTATCCAGTCGGTTACGCACGCTGGCTTGCAGGCTGTGGTGCGGTGCGACGCGTTAGCGAACGCCTGCTGTACCTGGTCGGCGGCACAGCTGAGTGTCTGCTGCGGCGTGCAGATCGGCAGCGCCGCCCTTGGGGATTCCGACTCCAGCACGTCCATGCCCAGGTGGCGGCAGCCGCAGCTGTCGGCGTACAGCTGGAGCAGCTCGTGGACCATGCAGCTGGCGGCGCCGGCGACGGCAGCGGGCGGCGGCTCGGCGGCCAGCGGCACCGGCTGGCAGTCGGCCGGGCCGCCCAGCAGCGGCGTCCGCTCCGCCGTGATGTCGTGCTCCTCCTTCCACACTTGCAGCTTCACCTGCTGGCCGACGGCGGCCACCACGGCGCGGTTCATGACGGCGAACGCCGGCGGCGTGTAGTGGTTGGTGGCCACCACCCGGAGCTCGTCGCTGGGCGGATCGATGTGCAGCTCGGAGAAGTCCATGTCGGCCGGCGCAGCCTCATTCTGCAGCACCAGGTGCAGGCCGAACCGGGCGCCGGCCATGCCCTGTCGGATATCGGTGCCGAGCGTGGTCCAGCAGCGGCCGAGTGGCGTGTACACGGCGCGCAGCAGCCGGCCGCAGCACTCGGAGCCGCTCAGCGACGCGCGCCGGCCGAGCCGGCAGCTGGACACCGTGTCCTCGCAGCTGGGCGACAGCTGGTCGAACAGCTCCGGCAGCGTCAGCTCGGAGCGGCGCAGCAGCTCCTGTAGCTCCGCCTCCAGCGGCGGGTCGTCGTCGCTGCTGATGAAGCCGCTGGCCGTGGTGGACAGGTAGGCGGCCATCCTCGCCGACACGTTCAGCCTCTCGGCGCTCGGCCGGCTGAAGAAGTGGCCCGCACACAGGGTGACGGCGGGGATCGGCAGGCTGTCTGGCGTCTCCTGATGCACGGTGGACGTGCTTACTCTGTGAACGAGCGTTTGCTGCGTGATCGTGACCACGCAACTAGTCAGCATTCCGGTCGAGAAGAGCACTGTCAGTGTCCAGAAGAGACTCCAAGCGCAGCCTCTCCTTTCGCCCAGATGTCCCAATCCGTGGATAGTGGTGTGCTCGAGGAACCATACTCCAAGACGGCTCACCTCCTGCCGCACTCCGCCTGCCTCGCCAGCCTCCGGCACCGCCACGTCGTCTCTGGGGCCGTGTCGAGAGGGGTTGACGTGGATCACGAGATTCATCTCCTGTAAAACAGGAGTGATACAGAGCAAAGTCGGCAGCCCTACTGGTCGACGGTCGTGGGGCCACTGCTGCGATCCACTTTGCGTGGTCAGGTACGAGTAGGATCGTGTCTGTGTCAACATCTAATGCTGTAATAGCCTCCGACATGCTCAAGGTCGTGACAAACACCATTCGGAATTGGACGGTAGACGCACCCGGTCGCACTTCTGTAATTAACTGTGTTTGGAAACGGCAAAAATAGCGGTAGTTTGGCAGTAACCTGTAGCAATGGCTGCCTTTTCGTTAGGCATGACTATTGATCATATATCAGAATACACAGAATAAGGCATATGAATGAGGATGATGAGAGACATCGCTCCAGAACGCAGGTACATCCAATATTTGGCTGCTCTATGAAATACTGCCATGGAAGGTGAACGTTAGCCATCATTAACTGGATTAATCATGTCCTTAC